CCTGTTCCCGAAATCTTGGAGTAGCACAGCTCCGATGGCGAAATCAGAGGCGCTGGTTACGACTTCGAACGGCTTCGATGGGTCGGCGATGCGCAGCACAGGGGGGGAACGAGAAAATTCTTGAGTTCGTGGAAAGCCGCTTCTGCCTCCTCCCCCCACACAAAGTTCCTATCCTTGTGCAGCAGGTCGGTCAGCGGGCCGGTTATCCCCGCCATATTCGGGATAAACCACCTGACGTACTTCACGAACCCCAGAAAACTCTGCAGTTCCGTGACATTCGTCGGGGAATTCCACTCCTGTATGGTCTTGATTTTCGCCGAGTCGATTTTGATACCGTCGCGTGAGATGACGTGCCCCAAAAACTCCAACTCCTGCTTAAAAAACTTGCACTTAGAGCCCTTGGTGATGAGTCGGTTCTCCTGCAACCGTTTAAATACTGCGTCGAGGTCACAGAGATGCTGTTCCCGTGTCTTGTTAAAAATCAGGATATCGTCCAAGTAGACGATGACACATCGGTCTAGAAGATCCCGGAAAACCCTGTTCATGGTGAGTTGAAATGTCGAAGGCGCATTCGTGAGGCCGAAAGGCATCACAATAAATTCGTAACTCCCGTAGCGTGTGCGAAACGCAGTCTTGTGACACTCGTCGGCGAAGACTCGAATCTGGTGGTAACCGCCACGTAAGTCAATCTTTGAGAAATAGCGAGCGCCGCGAAGTTGGTCGAGGAGGTTGTCAGTTTGTGGGACTGGGTAGCGAGACTTGATGGTGACCTGGTTCAGCGCGCGATAGTCGATGCACATGCGAAGCCCGCCGTCTTTCTTCAGGGTGAACAGGATCGGTGTTGCGAAGGGAGATGTGCTGGCTCGAATGAACCCTTTCTCCAACAGTGCGTCAATTTGACTTCGGAGCTCCTCGGGTTCCGACTGGGTCAACCGCCACTGTGTCCGAACAGTCGGTTGTGCTCCAGGTTTCAGCTGGATTTTGTGGTCCTCAGGTCTCTCGGGTGGCAGTCCAGGTGGCAGGTCGTCGGGGAAAATGTCAAGGTACCTCCGAATCAGCTCCGCTAAATCCGGCGGTATAGCTGCACACAGCTTCTCGATGTCCTTTCCGTCGGTGTCAACTGCCAACTCACGTAAGCAAACAGCGAACAGCTGCGCGCCCCTGTTGAAGTGGCGAGCTATAGTGATAGCTTTGACGCACGGGGCTTGGATGTAGTCAGGTGTCCATGCAGGCAGTTTAATTAGCCTCTCGTGCCTGTTGATGCTGCACGATCCCGTTGTCCAGTCGATGACGGGGTTGTGCCATCGCAGCCAATCACGTCCCAGCAGCACATCGCAGCCGTCCAGTGTCGTCGCGAGGAAATTTTTGTTGAAGCCAAAATCGTCGCCGCATTCGATCCTGATCGTCCGTGTTTTCCCGTTATCGCCAGAGGCGTCCCATCCACGAGGCGGGCGTCAATTTCGGGCAGACACATGTCAAGTTGCAGCTTGCATTTTTTTGCGCTCGCCGAGTTGAAGAGGCTATGGCTGGCCCCTCCATCGACGAACATTTTCAAGTTATTTTTTAACACCTTGCCAGCGACCAGCACAGGGTGATCCACATGATTATCCCCGTTATTCGGCCGAGTGCGATCGATTGCATGAATCGGAACCACTACTCGGTGGGGATGGTGGGGTTCGGGCGACGGAGCACAGTCAGTAAAGGGCCCGCTAATTACGGACTCTTCCCATTTCCATGCTCCTTCTTGTCGTTCCCCGTCAGCGGCGTTTTCTCGTGGCAGTCTTTCGTGTAGTGACCCGTCTTCCCATACCGGTAACACGGTCCCTTAGTAGGGCGGTCGGGTGTATGGACGGTGTTGGTCGTGGCCCGATGGGTCTGGCCACGAAAGCGGTTTCCATCCCTGGAAGCTGCTCTCGCATACTGCATCAGCACATCTGTTGACTCCGCCAGCCGTACTGCTTCAAGAAATGATGTCGGGCGGCCCCTGCGAACCTCGTACTGTATCTCGTATTTGAGGCCGCTGATATATTTATCCAACCGCTCTGCTTCCGACATGTCATCAACTTGGTTGGCGAGGCCTATAAATGACGTCGTGTAGTCTTGAACAGAAGCCATCTGCGACCATGCACGCAGCTTCATGCGAGCTTGCTCCGAGGCGGATACGTGCTCGAAGCGATCTCGTAAGCACTCCTTCCACGTGCGTATCGTGGTCACTCCGAAGATTGATTGTGCCACATGATTAGTCACTGTTGAGGTCCCGTCTGCCGCATGCGTCATACCTGTCGGCGTCCCCGTTTCAAAGGTTCGGAGCCACCATTCAAGCGCTGCACCTCAAAGAAGCGAAACCACGCAATTAATGCGAGTGGCATTGTCATTAACTCCTGCTGCAGTGAAGAAGACTTCGACCCCGAACAGCCACCCCTTTACTGTAACCGTCTTGTCTGTAGGATTAAACGGGGCGGGTTGATGGGTTTTATCTTGATCGTCGTTACTGCAGCTGGTGCTGCTGCCGCTCGCTGCCTGTCTTCCTCTTCGAAGTCACGTGTGAGCGCGTCCAAGGGATTGCTCACCGTTTGACTGTTGCCCTCGCCTTCATCATCTGGCGAGACCTGACACGCTTCACCTCGCGTCTGGCGCAGCTCGGCGTTTTCTTCACGCAGTGTTGTAACTTCCGCCATTAATGACTTCATGCCCTCCTACATCTCTGCCATTTGCGCCATCAACCTGTTAACCGCCTCCTGATCCATGTGCCTAGCGCTACGTCGGGTGGGCAATCGGGTATCCGTGGCCTTCAGGCAAGTGAAAAGACGAACTATCGGAGTCGGGCAGGATTGAATTAACAATCCCTGCGCCAACCGTCGTGTAGTTACTAAACCAGCCACACCCGTGCCACCGAACTACCCTCGGAAAAGTGGGGTCAACTAGGAAAGTAGCTCTGATACCAGGTGTTATTAGTTATAAAAGAGAGTGCGCAGGTAAACGAATAACGAGACTGTGATTGAATGATCTGAGAATACAATGAAGGCACAGACTAATGTAGGGACTAGCCTAGCTAGGAGGGAACCTCGGACGAGCGAGGTTGGGTGCAGGTTTGGCGATGGGAACATGCCGAAGGCGACGCGAGGAGCCTCGGCAGCGTTGAAAATGGCCGAACGTGAAAGTCCGAAAATCGGGCTGTACGCGAAGCAGTCAAACTCGATAAGGAATTCGGGAAAATTCCTTACAATATTAGTCGGTGGTTTGAAATGTTACTTCTATTGTACCAAAATGAGATGCTGTATACATTACCAAGCATGTAAATATAAATGGTATCCTTGGTGACAATAGGCACATACCAAATAACTCTTCTCATAGTCTTTCAACAATATGTGGAAATGATAGTTTTGATCCTTAAATATATGTAAACATAGAAATATTCATGCTCGTTACTGTTTTTTTCTGGATTTTCTATTACTTGGTTGAAAGCAGGGCTGACGCTATCATACTAAATAGTCTGATTAGTCTGACCAATCAGACCATTGAGCTTGTGGAACATGGATTTGCAGAATAATCAATAATTCATCCCAGAGGTCCTCAGTGTTATTGTTTGTAGGCCCAGGCCCCTGATATAGTGTAATAGGCATCAAACTTAGTCGTTTCCGGAGTCTGGCTCTACATAGTATACAATCTGTGGTCCCTGTATGCCGGTCTATCGGGAGGAAGCTTTCCCGAAATTTCCAAAAAATACCCCCCACCCCCCCCCCCCCCCCCCAACTTTCCCACGCGTAATCATTTCCCCACCCCCCGTGGTTGTCTTCTTGTTCGCGTGGGCAGGAAACCACGTAATGTTGACAAAATCTGTTGGTGCACTGTGCACAGCAAGGCAGCAAGGTGCGGCGTGCTGCGGCCAGCATGCCAAGTTTGATGATGACTCTACAGCCACGCGCACCGCACCACCCTTACGTAATGTGATGGGTCGATCGCGATTGGTGGCATGGCGCAACAGCTATGTGTGGTGGCATTGTGGCAGATGAATTTGACCTTGAATCCAAAGCCCGATTCATTCTGCAAACCCCACCTCACTCCGTGAGCCATTTTCGTGGCGTCGCGGCTTTCGTTCCGTCTGATGCAGCTGGTTCTTTCCAGCTGAAGAGGGTCCCCCATTTTCACTTGTTGCTTTCATTCGTGTGCATTCAGTTTCATCCTTCTCTCTCGCCATGGCGTCCTTATCTCCCGCGGAGGACTTGCCTGAGACCGTCCCGGAAAAGCCTCCAGATCGTAGGGTTAGCGGCCTAGATTTCCTTCGACCGAGCATAGCTTCAGTCACTCCAGAACCTCTAGTTACCGCTGCTGTTGTTAATACCGACGAGTTACCGTCGTCCAGCAAGGATCCACAACCGGCCCCCAACCCCGCGCCTGCTCCAGCGCCGTTCACTCTCCCTCCCGCCATCGCGTCGTCTAGCAAGGGGCCGCAACCTCCTCCCAATCTTGCGCCTGCTCCAGCGCTGTTTACTCTCCCACCCGCCATCCCCTCGTTTAGTAAAGCGCCTCCCTCTGCAGTTGGTAGCAGCGGCTGCAATGATGCCGCTCCCGCGTCTGAGGGTCGTACAGCTAAGAAGGCGCGCACTGTCTTACTCCGCGGGAAGTTTCAGCAGAGCACATTGACCTTCGGCAGTGTGCGCGTGCCACCACCAAGTGCTCCAGAAGACTCTGAGCCCGAACCAGAGGAACTAGAGGAGATACCTGCAAGTGCGGACACCAACTCCCCCGTTCTGTCCAAGGCTGAGTTAATGGAGCAGAAGTACATAGAGGCAAGTGTTAAGTATAACACCCAGTGGTTGCCCAAATTCCTGTGGCTGCTCTTGGTTCGCGCTAAAGACGGTGGTCCCAGTGTAAAGTACAGCTTGCGTCTCTCTTTCGGCAAGGAGACAACCAAGTACTCAGGTCCAGGCGACGGCGGGCGAGATCTGCAGACGCAGACGATGCGCATCCACGAGTACACGACGGTCCACAAAGAGGCGATGCAGCGTCAGGCAGAGATTGCGGAGACGATTTCGAACGGCCAGACGAAAATTGATCGCTTCATCAACGCGGACGTTGAGGGTCGGCGGGCGATCCGGCTGATGAGGTCGGTGCAGTTTCTTTGCCAAGAGGACGCGCCCATCAGGATGTTCCCGAAGCTCATGAGGCATCTCGCTGAGCAGGACACCCCCGACATCCTGAAGCAAGCCTACGGGGTGTACCTCACGAGGTGGGTCAAGTACGGTTTCAATTTTGGTACCGTGATTTACGTCTCTTTCAAGACTAACGTCCTGGTTCTTCGTACCCATTGCAGATACGGTTTCCAACAGATGGTGCACTGCCTGAGCACCTGGTTGACTCAAACGCAGATGGAGCACATCGCCTCGTCGCCCTTCCTTGGTTTGAGCACAGACGAGAGCACCGACCGGACTCGCGGGAAGCACATGATTGTGTACATCACGTTCTTGCGCAATCGTCGAGTCGTAACTGAATATCTCACCCTTCTTACTGTCGAGTGGTGTGATGCAGCTTCTCTCTTGTCGGTGCTCCTGAACCACCTGCACACCGCCAACATTGACATCAACCGAGTGGTGGGCATCAGCACGGACGGCGCGTCTGTAATGATTGGATGCGACAACGGACTCGTGACAAGGCTGCAGGAGCATGTGCCGCATCTGGTGTCAACACACTGCATCGCACACAGGTGATGCAATCCTTTATGGCACTATCATCTCGCTTCATTTACCGCTTGTCACGAAGACCCCGACGGATGCTAATAATGTGTTTCTCGGAATTACAGGGAGGCATGGGCGGTGAAGGACGCGGCCACGGCTAATCTGGACCTTGCGATGGTGGACAGCGTGGTGCGCACTCTTGCTGAACGCCTTGGCGCCTCAAGCCACCGGAGCTAGCGCTTCAAGTACCTGCAGCGCGTCATATACAACACGAACCTTGAGGTCCAGGGCATCCACAGTGTGCGCTGGCTCTCCCGGGGCGACGCGGTGAACCGTCTGTGCAAGGTGCTGGGCGCGGCGATTGTTCTCTTCCACGAGAAGGAGCACGGCTTGTACGAGACGGTGACATCGTACAAGTTCCAATTCTGCCTCTTCTTCCTCACTGACATCCTCGGCGACCTGAACAATCTCAACCGTTCGTTTCAGAAGCGGCAGGTGAGTCAGCGGTGTATGGTTGGCTATGTATTTCGTATAATCCTATCCTAATTTACTCTCGTTGTTGTGGGCAGGTCGATGTTACTGAGGTGGCAAAGATCGTGGAGTCCATCACTGCCGACCTCGAGCACAGGTACCTTGACAAGAAGGCGGACTTCGGTGGTTCCGGCAACGGATGGCTGCCAAAATTCCTGGCGCTGTATGGCAAGAAGTCGGGGCAGACGGTCCGAGTGCGTGGCGCGGATTCGGAGGGCCGCCCTGTGAACCACTCGTACATCCTACACGAGAGGAAGCTCAAGGACCATAACTACAAGAGAGGCTACAAGGCGTGCGTGAAGCTGTGTCGCAAGTTCGCGACGGACGTCGTCGATCGTCTCCTATTTCGCCTGGACGACCTGCGCGGGATGGGTCCAACAAAGCTGTTTCGCGCGTCTAAGTGGCCCAAGAGCAAGCACGCACGAGACTGCAAGTGCCAGGACTGGCTGACTAGCTGCAGCGCTCTGTTCAAGAACAAGCTGCCGGGGTTTGATCACAAGAAAGCGCCGCAGGAGCTGGCAACCTGGTGCCCAATCATGGAGTCTCACCACGAGGAGGATTCATTCGCGCAGGGACTGGCGAACTTCATGGGGAGCGGCGACGCCAAGAGGTAGGTCGACCTCGTCTTCGTGTGCCACATAAATGTCTCTAATCTAATGCTTCTGGAAAACTGCTGCTCCTTGTTTTTGGCAGGCGCTGGCCCAACCTGTTGATGATGTGGCAGGCGCTGGCAGTCCTGCCACTGTCCACTGTGGAGTGCGAGCGGGGGTTCTCACGCCAGAACGTGATCAAGTCGTAGATCCGTGGGTCTCTCTGCAACGCGCAGCTCGCGGAGCTGATGCAGATCTTGCTGCTGCAGTATGAGATGGACTGGCCTGGGGTGCTCGATACCTGGAGGAGCCTCAAGAAGAGGCACCCCACACAGAGCGTTCTGTTCCCATCTAACGATTGCAAGCGTAAGGAGAAGGGACCGGAGGAGGAAGAGGAGGAACCCAGGGAGCCGGCGGGCGAGGAGGAGTTCGCGGAGTCAGACGAAGATCGTGACGACTACCTGGAGATGGATCAGGAGATTGAGCAGTCGCCGCCCCAAGATTACTCAAAGGAAGAAGATAACCCGTTTCTCTTGGATAGCAAGGATACGAAATGCACAACAATCACAAACCTGTGTTTGATGTTTATTGGTTGTGTTTGAAGTGAGCGGCGGAAATGTTGTCGACTCACTCTTGGGGCTATGTTCTGATTGGTGGAATAAGGTCTGGGTTGCACTTACGTGGGAAGTGTTTGATCCAACTTGAACCAATTACGTGGGTTCAATTCAGTAGCAATTTTGATTGGTTGGTTTCCCAATCAATCCACAATTCCCCGCAAGTCTCGCTTCTTCTCCCTCTATTCTCAACCAATCAGATTTCCCCCCAAATCCCCCTCTCAGCTAATTCGACGTATCGAGACCAGGTGGGGGTTGGGTCCGAATGTTACACTCCTCCCCCCCCAGCTGGCAACGTCCTCGTTGCCGTGGGGTGCTTCTTAGGACGAGTGCTACGAGCACGACGAACCACATTACGACCAGGGTCAACACCATCCGCTGGTCGTGGGAGTGCTCGCTGAGCCAGGTCTTCCTGTCAAAGTATATATTTGCTATATATATTTAGGCTGTAGTGGGGTAGCCAATATTGGGTACAGCCCCTTTTAGGGTTTCATACTTGTACCCAACCCTTTCATAGTTCATTCATTCCTGCTACTAGATTCTGACATGGTTTCAGAGCACTAGGTCCGTAGGACCGTTTTTTTTCGGGCCCACCTACCGTTGCGGTTACCGCGCTACCCCACGTGTTGTCCTGCGCCTGCCTGCCTGCCCTGCCTTGTGACGTGCTGCGCTGCGCGCGCCGTCCTGCAGCCCTCGCGCTGCCTCCTGCTGCCCTAGGCCAGCGCGCCGCCCTTGCAGGCTCGTAAGGCCCACACGCCGCCTCTACAGGCCCGTCAGGCCCACGAGCCGCCCCTGCAGGCCCGTCAGGCCCACGAGCCGCCCCTGCAGGCCCGTCAGGCCAGAACGCGGCCCCGCCCTGCCTCTGACGCGGCCGCGCCCAGCCTCTGACGCGGCCGCGCCCTGCCTTCGACGTGGCCGCGCCCTGCCTTCGACGCGACCGCGCCCTGCCTTCGACGCGGCCGCGCCCTGCAGCCATCGCGGCCGCGCCCAGCCTCTGACGCAGCCGCGCGCTGCCTTCGACGCGGCCGCGCCCTGCGTGCTGCAGCCCCGCGCGTCGTGCTGCAGCCTCACGCGTCGTGCTGCAGCCCCGCGCGTCACGTCAGCTGCCCGCACGTCGCGCTACTGCCCCGCGCGCCGCGGCTGCCGTCCTCGCGCAGCCCGCGGCGACTTCGCGCGCCGCGCCTGCAGCTCGCGTTGCGCACTGCAGGCCCGCGCGCCGCGGCTGCCCCTGTACCAGCTACGCCGCCCCTGGTGCAGCCGCCCCTGGACCCTCGAGCAGCCGCCCCTGGACCCTCGAGCAGCCGCCCCTGGACCCAGAGGAGCCGCCCCTGGCCCCTGAAGCAGCCGCCCCTGATGCAGCCGCCCCTGGACCCTCGAGCAGCCGCCCCTGGACCCAGAGCAGCCGCCCCTGGCCCCTGAAGCAGCCGCCCCTGGTGCAGCCGCCCCCGGACCTTAGAGCAGCTGCCCCTGGACCCAGAACAGCCGCCCCTGGCCCTTGCAGCAGCCGCCCCTGGTGCAGCCGCCCCTGGACCCTCGAGCAGCCGCCCCTGGACCCACGACGCCGCCCCTGGACCCCGTGCAGCCGCCCGCCGAGCGCCGGCCCTGCTCACCCGGCGAGCGCCTGCTCTTCCCGCCACTGGTGAGCACCTGCCTTGTTAGCGCGCTGCCGCGCCATCTGCCTGCCTGCCTGCCTGCCAGCCTGCCTGCCTGTCTGCCTGCCTGCCTGCCTGCGTGCCGCGCCTGCCTTTCCCGTGCTGCTACTTCTGTTACTACTCCTAGGCTACTGCTACTGCTACTGCTGCTACTGGCGGTGGCCAGATGCAGCTCCAGCGATGTCCGCGCGAGTCTCTCACGCCCCAGCAGCTTCGTGAGTGGTACGCTAGTTGGGGTTGTGGTGGTAGCCGTCGTAGCTGTCGCCCTGGAGCTGGTTAGTTGGGAGCATCTGGCGGTGGCCAGCTGCAGCTGCAGCGGCGTCCACGCAAGACACTTACGTCCCAGCAGCTTCACGAGTGGTACGCTAAGAGTAGAGGGTCTTTGAGTACCGTTCGCTGCCCGTACGTCATTCGCACAGGTGATCGGACGGGTCAGGCTTGCCCGTCACACCTAGTCCCGCTTCTTTGCCCGTCTGAGCGACGCCTGGCGTATCGAGTTTGGCGACGAGGCTGAGCTCCCCGACTGGGTGGAGCTGCTTGGGCAGAGGGTAGATATATTTGCTCTTGACTATGATGCTATTCTCACTGCCATGTATGCATTGCCTACTAGTGCTGACCGTGCCTGTTACTCGTGCGTACCGTCTGACCCAGGTATAGAGCCTGCTGCTCTTGGTGCTGGTGAGGCTGCTGCTCTAGGTGCTAGTGCGTCTCCTCCTCTGGGTACTGGTGAGGCTGCTGCTCCAGGTGCTGGTGAGTCTGCTCTCTCTGGTACTGCGCCTGCTGAGGCCTTGTACACCTTCACACTTGACTCAGGTGCTTCCCGCTCCTTCTTTCGCGACAGCACCACCCTCACGCCGCTCAGCCGGCCGGTTCCAGTCTCCCTGGCAGACCCCTTTGGGGGTCCAGTCCTTGCGCACTCCTCCACGGTCCTGCCGTGTCCGGCAGTCCCGTCTGGCTCCCTGTCTGGTCTTCACCTCCCCTCGTTCTCTACGAACTTGGTGAGTGGTGCTGACCTCCAGGACCAGTGGGTTGACCAGTTCACTCCTGGAGGTCAGCGCGTGACCCACTGTACGTGCTCCCGGACTGGCCGGCACCTGGCCACGTTAACCCGTGCGCCTGGCTCGAGTTTGTACACACTGACTACTTTGTCCCCTCAGGTCGCTGCGTCTGCGTCTGTGTCAGGTCACCTAGCGCCCCCCTGCTCGTGTCGCGCTTTGTCGCACCAGACCCTCCTTTGGCACCACTGCCCTGGTCACCCCTCGATGCAGCACCTTCGTAGCATGCACCGCCGTGTCCTTGTTTCTGGTCTTCCCAGGGTTCTACCTCCCCTCCCACCCTTGCCGGCTCCTCCCTGTCTTCCCTGTGTGGAGGGGCGGCAGCGCGCCGCTCCTCACTCCTCTTCGTTCCCTCCCACAGAGGCTCCCCTGCAGATTCTCCACCTGAACCTGTGGGGCCCAGCCCGCGTCCGTGGACAGGGCCACGAGCGGTACTTCCTGCTGGTCGTCGACGACTACACGCGTTACACCACGGTCTTCCCCTTGCAGCGCAAGGGGGATGTCCCTGATGTTTTGATCCCCTGGATCCGCGATGTTCGTCTCCAGCTCCGCGAGCGGTTCCAGTCGGACTTTCCTATCCTGCATCTGCACTCAAACAGAGGTGGTGAGTTCTCCTCCGACCTCTTGGCAGCCTTCTGTGCGGAGCACGGCATCCGCCAGACGTTCACGCTTCCGGACTCTCTGCAGCAGAATGGGGTTGCTGAGCGCCGCATTGGCTTAGTCATGGAGGTCGCTCGTACCTCCATGATCCATGCGGCTGCCCCCCATTTTCTGTGGCCGTTTGCGGTCCGGTACGCCGCGCATCAGCTCAACCTCTGGCCTCGTGTCTCCTTGCCGGAGACCTCGCCCACACTGCTGTGGACGGGGAAGGTTGGCGATGCGTCGCGTTTCTGGGTCTGGGGTGCTCGTGCCTTTGTCTGCAATACCACCGCGGACAAGCTCTCCGCCCGCGCTGTTCCCTGTGTCTTCCTTGGCTTTGTCCCTGACGCGCCTGGTTGGCAGTTTTACCACCCCACCTCGCGCCGTGTCTTCCTTTCTCAGGACGTCACGTTCGACGAGTCGGTTCCCTTTTACCGTCTCTTCCCCTACCGCACTGCCCCTCTCCCCCCCCCGCCGCTCTTCCTCGCTCCAGGTGCTCCCCAGGTAGACCCCCTCCCCGCTCCCGGTCCTGCTCCTTCAGGTGTGTCTCAGGTAGACCCTCCTCCCTTGACTGCGCCGGTTGAGGTCACTGATGACTCAGGTCCTGCTGAGGGTGGTCCTGCTCAGGGTGCTGCTTCTGGGGGTGCTGAGCCTGGAGGTGCAGAGCCAGGGGGTGCTGAGCCTGGGGGTGCGGAGCCTGGAGGTGCGGAGCCTGGGGGTGCGGAGACTGGAGGCGCTGAGCCTGGGTGTGGGGAGTCTGGGGGTGCTGTTCCTGGGCGTACTGAGTCTGGGGGTGCTGCACCTGGAGACGCTGAGGCGTCTGGTGAGCAGTCTCCCTGGAGCGGCCGTCTACGTAGTCGCTCCACTGGTGCCTCGCCGCTGCGCTCTCGTCGTCGAGTCCCTCTCTCTCCATAGCAGCTGAGTGAGTGGTACGCTAGCCGTTTGGGTAGCGCTACTGGAGCTAGGGGCCCTGCTGCGGGAGGCGCTGGTGCTGGTGACTCTTCTACTGAAGTTGTTTCTGCTGGAGGTTCTGGAGCCGCTGAGGGTGCTGGAGTTGGAGGTTC